CATGTATTTCTATCAACAACCTTCATGCCTGGTCACGTGACTGAGGAATTAAGTTAATTCTGTATATATAATAGATTGACCTTAAGTTAAACTGGATTTATGGACAGTTATTAGCGATGAAGGCGTATAAAGACAATGTCTACTTCCTTAATTAGTTACTTAGGTCTCTTGCGTATTAGAATTAGACAGTTATGCAAATATAACTTCACAACTGGACTAATGATGGTATAGAGCTTATGTGTTCAGTATCGTAATTAGATCCAATGTATGTAGATAATATTAAGCCTACCTCATACGAACATATTACATGATGTTAATTAAACTGGAGAGATTAGAGTTAGGACATTTTTACTACTCAACTGCATCATTTCATGATAAATCAATCCATATTTCAAATTAAACAGACCTTACTCCTATGTTCGTTTTAATTTTCAAGCCAAAATGAATTTTAGCATTTAATTTAAGAGTGATAATAAAATTATGTCAAAGGTTTTCCTAAGTCCATAATATGAACCATTTATTGGTGAGGGCCTGGATTATCTTTTTATTAGTTAGACTGAAAATTAATTAACCTTTATTGATATATATGCATTGTGTACAGATAGCTTTCAAGTACTCAATTCCCTACACATTTTATATGATAGATGGATTCTAATAGTGAAATTCAGAAGACTCGTGTAATCGTATATGGAACTCATCAGCTGATGGGTGTACCTGCATCCTAGTGTTGATGTTCAAGATCAAAACCTTTCGTTTAGAGAATCATAACACTTGATCAACTGAACTACAAAGTGTAGATAGCTATTAACATCAATACTGAAATGCAAATATGTTCAGTCGATCAATCCCAAATTCAATAAAGTGCATTGTCCTGCATAGTTCATGTATAACATAAAACATATGGGCAATTTAGTTATGACTTAGCTGATTAAAGAGGTAGTGTTTTCTTTAAGATATGAAAATGATCAATTTTTGAATTCCTGTCAGGATCAAGAATGTTTACGGCTAAGGGACTCATATTAAATCTTTGAATAATATCAAACATTCTTTAACCAATACTCTTTTTTCTTATACTTTTAATAATGATCATAATATCATATTGGTAATAAACCATACTTCCAAGACTATTGCGTAAACATTGGTAACATTAATGTGCATTAAAAAAAAACATGTAATATTTTGAACAAAGACAAATCACGTGGTAGGTTAGTTATTTCTTAGATCACATGACACATGCTGTGCCATATCCATGTGAAGTTCTCCAACTAATGGTTTATTGGGTTTTAATAAAAATATTGTTTTTATGTGCACTTTTTTTTTAGAAAAAAACTTGGGAAGATTCTAAATCTAACTGAAGAAGGAAAAAATAAATTTATTTCCCGGGAAACATTAGGCTTTCAAAATTTTATCAAATGTTTGATGTATTTATTTATTTTATTTATTGAAGAGAGAATGAGTACTACTAGTAGTGGAGGAATATTATAATTATCAAGGTCCAACTAATCAGGATATAAAACACTGAGATAAAAAAAAAACACTTCTGAGGATCATAGTGTACACCACGGACTGATCTTATTAAGGCGATCATTGAAAACCAAGAAGCACTAGATAACCGTTTCGTCATAGTATGAGATGCTCTAGGACTAAGCAATCAGGAATCAAAGCTAGGAATTTCAGTTAAATATATACATTATTGAGTAAATGTTTCCAATAGTTGGCTATCCTTTATGAAATTTCAAAATCTAAGCTTCGGTATCTGAAGGGGTTGTTGGTACATATGGCGTAGTCTAGCGGTTAGGATTCCTGGCTCTCCGTCAGACGACCCGGTGTTCGACTCCCGGTGCGGCACAGTTCCCCTCCTAAGATAACCACTTGCTTCGTTCTGGAAATCCGGGTAGTATCACAGCCTACACAGAAATCAATTGACTTGTGTGGCGCATATGTATTCGGTGCCCTTTCGTACCAATATTTATGTGTTCAAATAAATATATTAAATAATGTTGGTACACACCACTAAAACTAACCTGTTGTCCATTGTTCCTGTTTCTTAATAATATCTTAAATATAAGCTGCAAATAAAAATGAATCAATTGATTTAATAACTTGAAAATTTAAAGTTTAATTCACTTTGGTGGTGTTGAATGAACCTTAGCGAGATTATAAAAAGAATGACTAAATGATTGTCTAACAGTTCTTTAGACCATAATAATATCCAATAAATTATTTCGAAGTAAAAATTAATGAGGTGATTATCTTTCGTAAAGTCGAGTCAACAAAATTACTACTGATGATTATTTTCTGAGTTTCCTAGTTCGAATCTTAACAACACTTATATTGTCTCGATAGAACAATGAGAAGACGAAGTTGATCTGAAAAATGTGTTGTATTTGTGCTATACATTTCGAATAATATGTCCAATGATCCTATCAACGTGGGAGGTAGAAAACCAGGTTCATCGATAGCGAAACATATAATTGAAACGGGGCACAAAATTGACATTAATGCAGCTTTTAAAACGTTGTATAGAAATTGTCAAGAACGAATTCTTAAGTTTATTGAAACCTTGGCTATTCGTAAATTTAAACCCCCTTTATGTGTACAAAAACAATTTGTCGTAACCTTGAATTTACCTTGGTAATCCTTAAGTCCTTCTATGGCCTAGGATAACTCGACAATTACTTACTCTTTCTATACGATGTAAAATTGTTTCTCTCCCCTCTGTTACTTTTTTACTTGAACTTTCATTTAATTGACCTTTATTGGTTGTCATATAAAATGCCCTGACAAATATATGTGTGACCAGATCGTTCGAAATGTATCACGCAAATACATTACATTTTTCAGATCAACTCCGTCTTCTCATTGTTCTATCGAAATTTACCAAAGGGACTAATTGCTTTAAACTTATATTGTCACTTCTTAATCATAAATGTTAGACAATGCTTTGTGCACAAATATATCTTCAGTAAAATAGATCTTAATTCTATTCATTTAGTTAAGTAACTAAATGATATGATTGATTTATTCATTATTGATTTTTGGTCAGCATTACTTCCGTTTTGATTCAATTTATTGATTACTCAATGTAGTATTTGTTTTGTTTTCCCAGTGTGATCTTTTATTCTGTATAACATACGGCATTTTTGTATTAAGTTAACATGGACTATACTCAGCGTATGATTTGTTATAACCCTAAGTATTTATCATATATGTGATTTCATCCTAATTATTATTCAAAAATGGGTGTATGAATCAATATATAAATGAGTGCGTTTCCGACTAGGGTCGTTGTGGTTGTTTTTGGGATTAATAACTATTCACTTATACTTGTGAAGCGAGGAATCACTGCAATTCCCACAACGCAAAAATAAGAACACATAGACTGGTATAAGTGATAATCGATTCCGATATAACAATCAGCAACGACCAGATATAACAAGTAGCGTTCAATCGACAAGACATTTCGCTAAACATGCACTGTAAACTAAAGTGATTAACTATTATTCTAAAGTGTTTTGTTAATCACAATGTGTCAGGAATTTCTACTCCCAGAACACTTATTTGATTCACAATAACAAGTTTGTATAATTAAAGTTTACTGATTTGAAGTAAAAGAACTTATGTGGTTGATTTAATGGTTTATGACTAAAGTATTTTATTATGTAAGAATTATTCCACATGTCTTTCCATTAAAATTACTCGAACTACTTAAGTAGTACTTTTCACTTTAGATTATTTCTGTTAAGTTTCACGTCTAATGAATATTGTATTTATTTAAGAATATATATCTGTGACATAGAAATCAACTAATGTGATCAGTTTATCTTGAAAGGAACAATGGTGAACAAGATAAAACTAATTATTCAATGACAGGCTGTTCAATATTCAAATGAATTTAAAACTGGTCTGGTTGACGTTATAATAATAATCTTGTTGTGGATAATTTATTTGGACTATAGTTGTTTGTTCCTAGTACATTCCGTATTGCTGTCTAACAGAGTGTGATTGTAGGAACGATAATTAAAACAAATAAAATTTGGTCTTTAATATTTCATTTGTTTTAGAATTATAATTATTAAAAAATATGGATTAAATGCAGTCACTGAAAACCTAATATGAGACTCCTCAGAAGTACGCCTTCACGATGCTGCACGTGGGACTCGAACCTAGGGCATTTGGCCTTGCACATCTACGCTAAAACTTTAGACCTCTAAGCCGGCATCCAATGGTGTAAGTGTCTAACTTCAATCGATTCATGATCTCATGCAACCCTTCAATTGAAGTTAGACGCATACTTTTGAGGAGTCCCATACTAAGACGAAAGGAACGTTTACTGCTTGTAGATTTTCAATGACTGTCTAGCATAGATTGGTCCGTGAATTCGAATGTTAAAATATTACGATCTTCACAGATCCCCATATTGATACTAAATGCAATCAGTCAAAAACAGTGAATAAAGCACATATACTGTACAGTAACGCAAAGTGGAAACAGATAAATTATTAGGAAGAGTCATACTTCCGTGGAGGGTGCAGTTTATATTGATTGGTAGCTGAATAAAGAATGACCTCACCATCGTCTAACTTAGTCCCAGTGATAGACTTTTAAAGTGAAATTTTATTGATCCCTAAAGTTGTAATGATAACCACCATTGATCACCAACATAACAATTAAACATACACATTTCCGTTTAATCAATATCGACTTAATGTTTTAGTTAGGTGATTATCACCTGATCATGATCAAAACAATATCGTTTATCCCGATAGCAGACGTAGTAGAACGTGTCACAATTCGTAACATAGTCATTATACGTTGACAAATGTGGCAGTTGAAACTTCATCCCTCTTTAAAACTTAGTTGATAACTTCACTCCTACTTGAGAAATCCCAAACTTTCAGTATTTATTCTTCATAGAAGTAATGATTAATCATTCATAAATCTACATGACATTAAACACTTTATGCTTCTTCTTTTTTTCCTTTAAACAATATTTCTAGTTAAAGTTCATGCAATCGGATCACCACTGACACTTCCAACGACGGCTACTCCAACAACAACCATTGTTCATTCAACACAAGTACCTTCAACAATTAATGTTGCCATTGGTTCAGTTACAAGCGGTATTTCCACTAGTGGAATTCATTATACATCTGTTTCTGGTAATCATGTAACATTAAATTCATCAAAGCTAAATTCATCAACAGTTGTACAAAATGAAGATTCGACTAATATCACTGCTACTACTACTAATATTAGCAGCAGTACTAACCAACCACAACAACCGTATACAATTTATTATGCTTTACCAACAAATGATTTACTACGTCAACTTAAATTAAATCATCAAGCTATTCAAATCGATCCGAATATATCATCAAGACCACAAATTATTCAAACACCAGCTGGTTTAATGTTTGTTCAATATCCTTCACAATATCAACAATGTTCAACAGGTAGCTCATCACCAAGTAAACTCAATACTGGATCACAACAACAACAGCAACATCAACAAATACAAAATGATAATACATTACCACGTAATATAATGACATCAACTAAGCATAATATACAACAAATAGGTGTAGTTAATACTGGAGTACCTGTTAATGCTTCAATTGCTGGTACTCATGTTGATTCAAATACATTAACACGTCATACACGTGTTGAACATGTACAAGGTTCCGGATTAATTTGCACTTGTCCACCTGAAGTTCATCAAGGTAATATAATACAATTTATACATAATACCTGTCATGATTATTACCATTATTATTATTTGGAATATTATCAGTACAAGATCTCAATGAGTCTGGTGTACTTAAAGACTGAATTGTTTAAATAGATGAACAGGATTAGACCCATTTAATTATTAATTTGTAGATTAATCTTAATTGAAACTAATGAAGCCATTGTCCAGTATCTATTCTTCATTGATCGATAAATGGATATAAACACTTTTCTTATGCTTAGCTAAGACTTAATTCATTCAGTAAAACTTACATATTTCTTGTCGATAACTCGTATATCATTTACAATATTCAGTAGATAACAGCTTATGTTCTGAAACCTTTTTTATGACAATGGGATGAGATAAGCTAGATACAGTTACCTTTTATTTTAGTTTAAATAACTAACCCTCGTAAGATACCGTGCAATAGTATTGTTATCCATTAAGAACTCATTTATTGGTATTATATGGGGATCATAGGATATGGCGACTTGGTTGAATTCGACATTGTGAAACATTGGATTTCGGTTTAGTAGTCTGAAACGTCAGTGACAGTCAGACTCAAAGCTATCAGTTACGATACTGTGTGGCTATATTGGCGCAAACATGTTAAGAATTCTTAAACTAACAAGGAATAGTTGTCCCATATTCTTTGGTTTTTTATTGACTCTACTTATAATGTCCTATTTTCGATATATTACTAGACCAACTTTTATATGGCCACTTAACAAGATCACTAAATCATGCAGTCAATTAATGATAGATTCTCAAACGACAAATAATACTAGTAACCTTTTCACATGTCGTGTTCAGTAAGTATACTGACGCTGATTGGCCGAAACAAATTACGTTCTGCCATTACCTACCTAACCGGAATGAGAAGACATCGGAAAATTTATTTCGTATTAGTAGAATTTAAAAGCTGACATGATAATATAGATCATTTATAGGATCACAACATATCATGAATAGGAAATCACCGTACATCACCAGGTCAAATGTAGTACAAAGCTGAGTAATAGGTGAATAGTTAGTTAATTGTAGTTCAGGAACAATAAGAGGCATATAATCAGTTAATGACTTACATAGAATTTTACAAATAGGACAATCAAAAAGCACCATCAACCAAATATTTGATAAATATAAAATAAAAAGTAGATGTAATCATTTACCGTAAAATAAGTAGTCTTCAGAAATCCACTCATTTCGACCTTTCCGTCTGTATCCTTCAACACAATGTATATAAACCTTCACAAAACAGGAAATGATTATATTGTTATCAAACAAGAACACAGTAGTATTTATTACTGAAACAAGTTCACAATTATGCATTTCAGCCACTTATATATATATATATATATATATATATATATATATATATATATATTCAGAGTCAAACTGAAGAGAGCAGGGCGAAAAAGAAACAAAAAATGGTATTCTAACCTAGATATGTTCATGATTTCAATGAAATTCAACAATATCAACAACCCCAATACTATTAATTATCATATAATCACTAGACACTAGATTCGAGAAGAAATTCCCACAGTTCTATTGATAAGCCGTAACCAGTGGAGTCAAATTTAGTAAGATGTAAGACGGTTTCTTACCAAAGACAATGAAAGATGGTTACACAATGTTGTGGACTGATTGAGATTAGACATAAACACTTCTGAATGCCGACTCAATGGCTTGGAGTTTAAGTGTTTATGTGCTAGAGCGGATGTTTTGAGTTCGATTGCTGTGTGGATGTGTACTCCTGAGTAGTTTTATAGTAGGATAAAATTACCATCCACTACTTGCACGTCTTCAATGCTGGTTTAACTTAGATTAATTTATAATTTTTGTGAAAGACAAATATTGAGTTTTACCCAAGTAGATAGAGTAACCAAATAAGTTAAGTAAAACTAAGACTATTAATTTGTTTTATTTGACTAACAAGTTGGTGGTCTATATTAGTTATTATAGTCATAAACATCGAGACGCCAAGATTGTTTACTGTGTATGCAAATTTCATTTGAAATTTATTCTTATTTTTAGAAATATCAATTTCCGCTTTTCAATCACTTAAGTTGAATTTAGCAATAAATATTAGTTAGGTTAATATCTCTAACTAATAGAAGTACTAATGCTCTTTGAAGAGACGACAAACTTGTTGGAATTTAACTACAGTAGTATTTTGACTAGTGAAGATCGAACTCCCAAAGATTGAATAATAAAAAAGAATGAAAAAGTAAATCAGTTGTGTTCAAGTAAATTCAGTTAGTGGCTAGCACTACAATCTAGGACTCACATTTCGTTCCTTATCTGAATATATCTGAATTACAGTGTTGATATTTACACCGAGACTCAGAACTCTTTATCTTTCGTTTCAAATGCCTAAACCGTTATTCACTGAATTACTGAACCTCGATAGTCACTAGCTTATACAAATTAGTAAGTTTGTAAAAATAGAATATCAGAATTAGAATTGAATGAAGTATCAGTAATAGTTTGGATGCTCCACTATAGAGAAAAATGTAAAAATCAATTGTACACAGAAGTTGAAACGAGTATCAAAATAGAAATTTGCTTGACAATCTAATATTTTGAAAGAATTATAGTTTATTTTATAAGGAAATAATTAACTTGATGTTAGTTGACATTAAGAACTGGTTGAAGCGATTGGAAAACTTTTAAAGACCCTATGGTTTTTTTTATAACTAATTATCTTGATGATCATATAAAGCTGAAACTCTAAGACCTTCATATTTTATCTCTACAGACACATAACCATCAATCTAATGATTCGCATTTCCATAGTTTTTCCTATTTAATTGCGACTGTCCTACATTGATATGTATCAAATAATGGATTTATAATCACTCTATTCATATTATCCTTACCACGTTTACAATGAATAATCATATCGAATAAGGAGACTATAAGTATAGTAACTTTCAAAAGAAAACAATTTAGAATGAAAGACTTGTTACACTATAATATATTATTAGTTCTATGTCACGTAGAACCAGTCATCTGTGTGTATCTATTCAAGTTTCGACATAACATTAGTACAGAGAAAAGAAATTATCAAGACAAATCTCAAATTAGTAGAAATATTAACGTTATCAATAGTTGCAGAAAAGATTAGATATAGACAGTATAATTTGAGTAGAAATAATAAATTTATCAGATAGAACTAGTACAAGATAGTTTTGAAACTGAAGATTTAAGAGAAAACAAAGAGTAAATGCATCTACGCCACCGGGACAGATTCTGATCTGTGTCATTAAATGTCTCCAACGATTGGTTACGAAAATCACGTAGTTTGCTCCTTACAACACGACTCAGTCCAAATGTTAATGAATTCATGAAATAATGCCACGTTTTGGTTTGAAATTCTATAATCTTCTTTCAACCTACTCTGAAACCGGCTGTCGTCGCATATCAGGGCAAATAGTGGTCGAGCACAAATAATCTATATCCCAAACGCTTCAGTCGATAGATATTCACTGCCTCATCAATCAAATTAGCATCCTTACATAATACTCTGTGCCTAATCTAGCATTTATCAGTCCATCTCCCCAATATATACGAGTAATACTTTGTAAGCACCTATAGTTAAATACTAGTGACCTATGAATATTTTCTGTTTTTAAAGGCGACATTTCACAAACATAAGGTAGTAAAGAGCAAACTGTTGTGCAGTGGACTCATCATTTTTTTTAGCAAACGTCTACCGTAGAACATTTTCAACAAACTTTTAATTTTTCTCTGAATTGTTGTAGTGTTATCCTAGGACTATTGATATAGATTTCATTTAAAATTATATCATATGTGAATGGGACCTGTTGAAATTGGTTTAATTTGTTGGTAGCATTTATTACAGATTAATCTCACTGGGAGCGATCTGATTAAGAAGTCTTATACTATAAAGAAAAAGTTATTCAGTACTTCTTGGCTTTCAGTAGCGCCTAAATGAGATAAACACGATACTAAGACAACTTAGAAATTAAACCAGCCACCATAAAACCCATTTAACTAAGATTATAACAGTCGCCTCACTTGTGACTCACTTTAAGATGTTCATGAAACTCTAATAATAAGTTGTGGATAGTGGAGTTTTACTATGTCAGAAGTGAAATACTTGTCAATAATAGCGTTATTGGATCATTGCACTATATTCCAAACTCGTTTAAGTTATAGTTGTACCATTTAACGCTGACCCAGTCGTTCGATTAGTCAAGCGTTCGTTGTGAAATCTGCAGGTCTTGGTTTCCATCTCTGGTGGGGTCATTTATGCGAACTTTTAAGGGATCTCATGCCATAACGAAACAAGTGTCTAACTCTCTCCATTCTTTAATCCTATCTTAACTGAAATCATTCTGTGAGAGATACAACAAGCAAATTTATGTCTATTTTGCAAGTTGTCGCTGCATTAAAGCGAAGTTGCAACAACAATACTAGTGTACTGTTCTTTTAAATTAATAATAACAATAAACTTTGATTCGATGTTTTTGCTAAGAAAAATAATGTGTTTTAACTTTTTATCATATATAAACATAGCTATATTTGAACAACAAAAGAAACGTCAACAAAATCAACCATCAACAATAATACTGACTGGTTTATCACCGTTGAATAAAATCAGTACAATTGCAACAACCACTGGCACTATTACTTCAACAATCGCTAATAACAATAATAGCAATGTTAATAGTACAATATTTGAAGTTTCAGAAATGGTACCAGGTATTGTGACACGTAACTCGCCGAATGTAACACTTGCCAAAGAAAATGGTTTATTAACAAGGTAGGTCTTTTTGGTTAAATGAAAATTACACGTTTCTGATTACTTGATCAGACTAATCTTGCTTTTTTTCTCATTGTATATATTTTGTTTAATGTTCTGAGTAATTCATGGCTTCAAAATGGTTTTGACATGGTTGCAATTCATATATATATTAGTGAAACGCGTCCCCAAAATACTTAAGAATCAGTCAGCGTCACACGTCCTGGTAGAAACGAAGGAGGTGCAAAACCAAACTGTTCTAGTTTAAATGAGCCACAGGAACGATATTATATACACTTTTGGAAACTTGATATAGAAATCATTAGGAACCTGCTTTTACGTTTATGGAATGCCTTGATCATTGGAAGATTCAAGGTTAATGTTATGTGTTTACAAAAACAAATTATAACCTTGAATCCTCCCCTGTTTAATAATCTTTAATTCATCTTAATGCCTAAACTAATGTACATTCTATATTTTGCATATTATTTAATATTTACCAAATCTTTTATTTAATAGACCTTCATTTATTTTCATCTATGAAAGCCTTGATAAGTGTGCGTGTGTGTGTCATCAGACTGTTTGGCGCGCATTGTACTGATACAGCATATATTTTAGATCAAATCTGTCGCACACATTAATTACATTGAGGGATGGTTTTGCATTATTGTGAATTGATTGAAGCTGGAAATGTAAGTGATTGAATGGATGACTTAGTGGTCTAAAGGTTAAATGTTCGCCACAATGCATGGAGTTCCTAGGTTCTGCACCATCTTTTGGGTAGTGGTTGGGCACTGCTGAGGAGTCCCATATGAGGACATAACAGATGTTCAGTGCTTCCTGTTTTTAAATGGTTGCCCAATTAAGATCCATTTGTGATGAAAGCGACATGGGTAAATTGAGGGGTATAAGGAGTGATCTGTTTTATTTGAGTAAAAACATGGGTCGCTATATAGATTGCGGTCAGCAGTGAGATCTCATTTGTAAATCCTCAGATGGGCGTACTTTTTTTTGAAAATATACATTTTGGTGAATTGATACTGAATCATTCTACTGCAAAGATCGATTTATGGGCTGTACTGTAATTAGTAAGCTTTTTAACCTAGAAAATGACATAACCGTATAAATGTTAGTTATCATAACGGATTGATGATTGGTTTCTTCACCAACAGAGCTAATCAATAATGGCTTAGGTCTCTTATTTCTAAGTATTGCAATACGGATTTTTTTATCAGTATCAAATTGAAATACTGCAACTAACCAGTACTGAATGCTAGTTTGTAGTGTTATTCTTAACGACTTTCTTTGTACCAATATTTTCCTCCAATTGATATGTTTTATCATTCTGAAGTATTTATTTTACCTTCATGAAAGAATTATTTAGGATACTGCGAAGCTAAATGTTTTGAAAATGCTTTTACAGACTGAGATTATATACACTGAACCTTCTCAGACAGGGAAAAATTCAACAGTCTCGTCATTGTTTTTTGTGTCACCTTAGTAGTGACTATTTGTGATTCATTATGACATGGTAATTATAAAATTCATAATAAACACTTTGATATTTGATCACTGAATTTATAATACGATTCTCTTCGTTCTCCAACTACAAATGATTCATAGTAAAACGTGATTATAGTCAAGCATCATCAGCGCCCTCTCAACTTCACTCCAGGTTGACTTTAATTGATCCTTAGGTTACAATATCTCCCAATGGGACTTCAATACAGTGAAAAAAAACTCATTTCGTAATTAGATTAAGTAATGGCATTTCCGAGATGAAAGTTTTCCTTTCCTTGATGTCATTAACTAAAGCCATACAATTGTATTTATGGTTATTTTTTACATATGGTAGTCTATAATAAAATAGAAAATTGATGAGCCATTAGTAAATGATACCAAAAGTTAAATAAGATCTATTTCAATTGTCGAATAAAGTTTTGTATTAATCAAATCATAATAGAAATAACATAAATGAAAAGAGAGCGGAATATAACCATCCAGTTGACGAATATAAGAAAGATGAATGAATGGTCAAGATTGTGTTTAACACAACTTACAGAATAAAATGGTTGTTAAAATCATGGTAAAATAACAGATCAGACACATCACTTCTGAACACAAAGATCAAACTCTACTATCAACCATATTTATCTGATTATATTTTGACCCAGTTCTTCTGACTTAGTGGATAGTTTGAAGTGAAGATTCTGAGGGCGATTGTTGACTGGATTTCATCAATACTTGATAATAGAACTATTGACAGATTTATAGTAACCTTTACACAAGCATACTGGACAATTTTAGAATATGCATTTGGAAAGAGTACGCTTTATATAGCTTGTATAACACCCTCCATGAGAGCAGGTATACTAGCTGGTAATCACATACTGAATTAGTCTAAAGCGGTACTTCTTTGATCAGGTACCTACTAAATAATGAAATCTGTATTTCAAATGAATAGAATCTCTATTTCAACAAATTTAACAATCGATTTTTCAAGATATCTGCAATAGTACCATTTTAGAGTTCATTTTTAATAAACAGAATCTCTTTTTGCTACCGTAAAAGTTTTTAGCGTCTAGCATCTTGGTTTCAGTTTATTAGGGATGAACATAGGGGGGAAACTATTTTCTATAATTATTTACTTGTATCTATTCAATTCTTCACCAATCTTATCTTTTTGCCAGTATAAGGGTTATGGAGATTATCAAGTTTTTGATTGAGGTCATGAACCGGTTGATGTTAGACCACCGTTGGAAACCTCGAAGCCGTGACCAGTGGAGCTAATCCGTGTCGGGTAGAGACAGATATCTACCTCAGTACAATGGAAGATGTTCGCGCAATTTCGTGGATTGGTTGATGTTAGACACTAAAGTCATTGGATGCCGGCTCAGTGGTCCAGTAGGTTAAGCATTCGTGCGCGAGACTGAAGGCCTTGGGTTCGAATCCCGCGAGCGGGGTCGTGGATGTGCATTGCTGAGGAGTCCCACAATAGGACGAAACGGCCGTCCTGTGCTTCCAGGTTTCCAACGGTGGTCTAACATCAATCGGTTCATGATCTCAATCAAAAACTTATCTTTTTGCACAGATTCTACCAGTTATCGAAGGCTTTTTTTGAAAAATTCATATTGCTTTCATTTCTTTGTTATTATTATTAATGGCTTTATTCAATATTATATTTTTGGTACATTATAGAATTCTCAACACAAAGTATTTCAAAAAGTTTCCTTTCCTTATTTCTTCATCTATCCTCACGATAAATATTGAGTTATCACCAGTTAGATGATGTTAGCAGTTCAGGAATCGAAATCTGAACAATGGTCATTCTTTTCAATGCGTACTGACATCCAACACAATGTCTCTGATTGTAATTTTTTGTAAGTTGTACGGTGAAAGATTGTAAACTTCCCATAAACGCGTCTAAATAGGTTATGCGATTAAGAGCCATAATGATGTGTTAAAACAAACAAAATATAGATAACTTGTTCAGATATGTTGATGTCAGAAACAGGTAGACCAGATAATCAAGCAGGCCGCCAAAAAATGGTAATGATGAGTGTGTTAGTTATTATACATGTTACTTGTATTAATCTGGCACAATTCAATCATATTTAATCAATAAAACAAATATTGATTCTGATATTTTGTTTTCTTTTGCCTATTACTACTTTAAATGTCAATATTAAAACACTTAATAATTGGTTATATTTTCATAGAGAATAAGGGATAATGTTCTAATGTAGAGAGATAAATATCGTGATATTTTCTATTCATTATTAACGTTTTATTGAATTTTCCTATAGACTTGACCATTTAATTATTGAATAGGCTTATTTGGGTTGTAAAAAACTATGTACCAATGTATTGATTTCTATAGATTTTAATAATAAAACAAAGTTGTTTACTCGAATGTTTAGATAATCAGATTGTAGTTTGTTTGTTTTGTCTCATTCTGTTAAATAAACATTGGTCTAGTTGATTAAGCATTTGGCGCGAGACTGATAGATCCTGGGTTCGAATCTCGCGGGGTGTGGGATCGTTGATGAGCACTGCTGAGGAGTCCCATACTAGGACGAAACGGCCGTCCAGTTCTTCCAGGTTCTCCATGGTGGTCTATCTTTTCTTGACTTATAATCTCAACTACTAAAATTACTTATATAAGTATTTGAATATTGTAGTCAAGCCTTTTTAGTGCAAAATAAATAGAATTTATTCATACGATGTAAGTAAATTTTAGAGAATTGAAAAGATTCTGTAATGTATCATTGATTGTATTTAAGGTGGTAATAAATAATCTGAGAGAAACTTTATTTATATTGTCGAGTGGCATGGTAGAATCACATGAATTATGCTTTATTAATGAATAAAGTTAGCAGAATGGAAAATGTATGAAGAACGCAATTTTGCTTCTTGTTTTCTGTCTTTCTTTCTTTCAAATTCACTGGTATTCTAAATTTCTCATAAAAAGAGAACTAAGCTCTTTCATTTTATTTATCACTAATGCCTTTTAAATAAATATATGTGGTTTTTATGGTGAAATGATTTTAAGTGGAGAACCATTAAAGACTAAAAATGTATTGAACATTATCTATTCCAAACTGGGTGCTCCTCATTAGTGTTTCCTCGTGATCATAAACAGGTTATTCGATAAACCGGTGTAAACCAAGTGAATGAAATACACTTGGTCAGTTTTATTTAGAATACTTCTAAAGTGTACAGAGACGACAGCTAAGCAACTATCATTGTTTCGTTAATAAGAACTGAAAATTAAACTCGACGATACAATCGAATTCCATCAAATCGAATTATTAAGTGATAAGTATTTCAGATCTTACATGTTACACCAAAGTTTAATGTACTCCAAATCAGTCTTATTATTTCTAAAAAATCCACTGTTTATTTGTTTGTTTGGATATTTCTGATTTACACCCCCATTGAACTGTTTTTTTTAAAAAGTTATTATGTGTACCAGATATTGGTTATTCTGTTAGCCTAATCATGTTACTTCATAATCTTCT